GGACAGAGATAAACACGACAGTACTGACTTATCCATATACCTTGACAAGTTTTCCTTTTGGCAATTCTCCACTAGAATCCTTGACTTCTGGAGACAAGAAGTTGCCCTGTGAAACCATTGGATAAAAATGTTAAATGGATTGGAAATTGAACAGGGAATAGCCCAGCAAATGAACGAGCAGATTATTAGGAATGTGATCCTTACGACAATGTTGTAATGTAATCGTACCCAATTAAGTTAACTCCAAAATTAAGAAAAAGRTGAATAAAATTAAGACTGACAAATTCTGTTTATAGACTGGTGACTGGTGTGACTGTGCAAAGGCACGGAACTCGGCACGGACTCGACATGCACGATCACGGAAACTTGCCTGATATCGATGCAAAATGAAAAAGCGATTTAAAAACACATCACGTCCAGGCCACGACGCGGTCACGACACGAAATTGCCTTGTTTTTTTTTCATGGTCATACCAAATCTGCTCTTAAATTGCCATCGTGCAAATAACCGACACACAATTGAATGGAATGCTCACCTTGACGTAGACGTTGTTCTTGCTACACCGCTTTACCCACATATTCCCTTCAGCGTCAATGGTAAGCTTGATGCCCTTTGATGTTAATAAACTAGGTAAGTGCATATGAGACAAAAAACAAATTTTCCTAACATTTAGGCCTTGCAGTCACCTTCAGAGGACTGATGGTTTTGCGCAATACAAATTGTTTCTGTTTATACTGAATAATGAGCGTTATGGTCCGTTGTGGCAACAACTAGTTTACCTTGCCTATACAGCGCCTTGTTTTCTCGACCTTTACATCCGATGGGTTCATTGGTAGGGATCCAATACCAATTCTGTGGAATTCAACACAGCAAACTTAAAAATGCCATGAAGAAAACGCACCAACTACATAAATAAAGAGGAAACATCAAGCAAAGAGAAAGTAAAATCTCCTCTGATCGAGGAATGTACGGTCACCGGATAATCCACAATACCGTTTGATCATTAAACAATTTAATCGTGTAGTATCGAGGTTATTTTTCTCTTCTTTTATGTGTGYMATGCATGACGGAACCTGCCAAATAGTTATTTGTTCGAACGCACTATGTTGAATGCGGGTTGCTCCATATCAAACAATTGCTATACATTCTCTGTGCTTTGGGACTTCCCTTAGTTTTTGCTAGAGACCTTGTCTATCTCCAAGTGAAATTGAGTATGTCCGACATATTGTTTCGCTAGAAATATCTTGAAGGTGTAGACATTTAGTAGCCCTGAAATCTGTAAAAATCACTCAAACAGAGTGATCACACACAACCAAATAAGGAAGGATTTCCAAATGTGGAACGAATGTGCGTTTCTTCAAAGCATTTATTTAGTATGACACATTTATCTTTTGAAAGCGAAATACTTTACCTTGTGACATCAAAGGCGTTACTAGAACCATCCACAATGATGACAGACCTATCCACTTGGAACTCACCACGTGACACATCACGTTCATAGCACGTGATCATACACCATATGCCAGGTGACTCTATAGCAACATCGTCCAAGTCTCCATCCTTTTGAAAAAAAAAAAGCTTTTATGGCTGGGTTTGAAGTGTTACATTTCCCCGACTCTCGAAGCATACTAGCTACCCTTACATAGACAATAGGCGTTTTGCATGTAACGCCGTCACATGGTACTTTTAAGGAAAATCTGAATACCACAAAATTACAAAATTCTATGTTCCATTGATTCCTGGATTAAAACTTGTTTATCTTGGCCTGAACCGTTATTGTTTTATTCGTCTACGTCTTRCCGTGCTGGCACGAAACTCTGAGTTTCAATATAAAGGAGCGACTGCACAAAAAACTATGGACTACACAGAAACATACCAAGAAATAAAAAAAAACTACAAACCAAAAAGCACTCACCGGTGATAATACCGAGTCAAACGAAAAAGTTGAAAGATTAGACTCTCTCCCAGTCAGACTCGGACGAATAGGTGACGTCACCAAACTACTAGGCGAGGTAAGGGGCGTGGCTACATCCTCCTCACCAGATTGCATCATAATATCAACAATAGAAGTCCCCAATTCTTCACCCTCTTCAACAGGAAATATTTCTGGCTTGCCAGTACTGAAGACATCCATGATCGAATATTGACCGGTAATCGATATGTCGTCGGTGTAGTCTCCAGCATCGTCAGAAACGCTACGGAATGGACTCGCTTCCTCAGATGCTGCGTTAGACGAAGCAATTTTACCTTCAGTGTAAGTAAATATATCTGACATCGAAACGAGTGGTGGTTCAAATGTGGTTTCTGCTTCAAGATTTTGATTTATGTCAATCTCGTCATGACTAGGCTGTGACTGCAATGTAGAAGTTCTTTGTCCGATTGAAGAAGTATCCAATTCTTCCACCTGGCGCAAGTCTAATCGTCCATCGACAGTGTCTTCTACTTTGTCAGCAACGCTGCTTGAAATTTGTTTCTTGTGTTTGCGCTTTCGCCCATCCAAGATTTGCAAAGCTTTCTTTTTGACCTGCTCATCTGGCTGTAAAAACAATAAAACAACAAATAAACAAGCAAGCAAACAAAAAAGAAGAAAATTATGAGTTCATGAATTAAAGTCTCATGTGCATACAAGAAACTGTGGAATCATTTCTTTTGTTGGCGAGTTTTCGTTTGTAAAAACGCAAAGGTGGGGCCTTTAAGCATTTTTCAAAATGTTACAAAAAGTTTGAAATGTTTTTGTCAGCACAAAAGCTTTGGGATATACTGATATTTGCATAAATTGTGTTTTCAATCCCAATAAAGGATCATGTTAAATGTTATTGACATTGTCCCTAACACAAACCGTAAATTGCTTCTCAGTCAACACTCGCAAAACTCACGGCATGATTGCGAGGACATTTCATGTCTCAGAAAGTGATGATTTGGTCCGCTTTTAGAATAGGTATTTACCTCAAATATAGATATATATTATAAAAAAAGGATTGCCAGATAAATTGTCGAATGTAAATTGTCGAATGGTGATTGCACGACCGAACGTAGCCATGGATTTTGCTAATTGACGAGGGATAACAACTGATTTATAGTGAAAGATAGACTGTGGTAAACATTGGCTCCATTTAGTCTCGTCCATTTCTATGCAATGCGAATCCAATTTTGTTTGTCAAAACAGTGTAMCCATAGTCCCTTTTTGTCGTGCAATCTCCATTCGACAATCGCCATTCACTATTTTCCCCGACAGCGTTAAAAAAATGTAAATGCCAACATTAGCTGACCTCTGCTGCATCGGTACACTTGGCTCGAACATCGTCTTCATTGACTTGATAGCACAGATTGCTATACACTAGATCCATTCTACTGTGAATCTAACAAAACAAATTCTGTCAGTATCAATTGTACAGGTATGTCATAATGACGGCGACCGATTTGAGACTGGGACGAGTTCACGAAATCGAGTAGAGTGACTGTTTTTTTACGATTTGCTAGTCTTTTAAAGCTTGAAATCGTCTAAAATTTGCGATATTATGGCAAAAACCATTTTGTTTGTTTCCAAYTGTTTTCGACTGTGGATGACGCGCAAGCAAAACTTTCCATCCTCAAGTCTCTAATATTTATTAAAAAAAAAACATATATCGAATCAATGCCACATATGAAAACAAACAAAATGGCCGATTGTTCAGAAGTGTTTTCGCTATAATCTATCTGCAAGCTTTAGACTTTAGATTTCAACAATTAAAAGTCAAGAAAATCTCCAGAAACCGGTCCACACCGTACTTTCAAATAAGGCAAGATTATCAAATATAGCTGACAAACGAAGAACAATTTTTCTGAAGCAATTCTGTGATACGAGTTTTCGTGATGATATGTCATCAAACATATCTACTGCATTCAGGTACTAGACCAGTTAGGAAACAAATCAAAAACGAACACGTCATTTCTATACTCAATACCTTTGTGATGAAGTCGATAACTTCATTTTTCTGTTTTTCCTTTTGATGTTTAAGAAACCTGAAAAACCTTCTTGCACATCTACCACGAAATACTGCAGGCATAAGAGAGCATTGTGGTAATAATGGACATGAGMAGAGCATACAAAGRAGGGAGAAAGAGGGGAAAAGAAGATGCAGAGAGAAAATCTAAAAAGGAAGTAATACTGGATCGATTTCTTTCTTTCGAGAATTTTTCATAAGCGTTTCTTATCTGACCGGTAAACTAGAAGGGGTAAAAAGAGAATCTATTGACYAYATGARAAACGAGCAGAAGACTGGGATGAGCACCTTAAACGGTCCATGTTTTTAAAACTCTGTTTTCACGATAAGAAAGAGCATATTTTAACTAGTGAATTGGCGTTTTTTAGTTTTAAATGGTAAAATATCGGAAAATCATTTCGGCGAGCATTATTTCACCAATAAACCAGGAGATCCATCTAATCTTAAGGAAAAAAAAACAAAGACTGGAATAAAGAGAAGCAAGGAGGGAGGCAAGGACGAAAGATTTGAGAGCAAAGAAAGGAAGGGCAAATAAATTAAAATCATACATTTCTGCACGATAATAATCCCTCGAAKTGCTGTATCGATAAGATCGTTCAACTGCTCCCTACAGCTGTTTTTCATAAACACCTAGAAACATGAGAATATTTAATATTAATATATAACTTACGGGAGCTACATGTTCACCCCGCCAACCCTGGACTGGGATGACGGATGCTTATCAGCAATTCAAAAAAAAATCTCAAATATCTAAGAATACATACTGATTATTACAATTATACATGGAATTAAAAATGACATACAGCAATATGCAGAAATTATGATCTTTTTGACTCATATTTCAAGTATATATAAAAAATATCAGAAACTATCGGATATCATATCGCCAATTTTTTTTTTCAGAAAGTGCTAGAGCTAGGCAACTTCTAAAAAAATATCAGCGATGATATCCCATAATTAGTGATATATTTTATTTATAGCTACTTCCAAAAAGGTTGTCGGATAAAATGGCGAATGTCAATGGTCGAACGGCGATTGCACGACCGAAAGTAACCATGGGTTTTGCTTAGTGAAATGAAATAACAACTGATTTATACCGTTGTTAGATGGTCTGTGGTAAGCATTGGCTCCATTTAATGCAATGTGAATACAATAGGTGAAATTTTGCTTATTTTAAAAAACAGTGTAAACATAGCCCCTTTCGGTTGTGCAATCTCCTTTCGACAATCGCCGTTCGCGGCGTTCTCCCCGACGTTTTTTGAAATAGCTGTATACTTGGAATATGAATCAAACTGATCATAATTTCTGCATATTGCAAATATAAAGTGCATTACTTTTTATAGTATTCTGTCTAAATCTGATAAAGCCTATAATATTATATAACTGTAGGTAAAATATTATATAGCAGGTGGTTAGTATTAAAAGCTTTATTAAAAATGGAAAGATCTGAGTTAAGTAATAAGCTAAAAMTATCTCTATACCTTGGCTTGTAACAACGACTCAGAAAATTGATAAAAGTCGCAAAAAAGGGAATTTGGTTATARGGTAAATGTTACATGATACAACGGTATCATAGGCTCAAACACCAGGAAGAGCTTTAGGTTTCCTTGTGTTGAAGTACCCTTCTAGACCTTTCTACAGTAGGTTGCACAAACCTTTGTTTTTCCTATTCTCCAGCCCAGTCCATCAACATGAGATAAAATCTTCTCACAAGTGTCTTGATTGTATTTGACATCTACCGTCAATCGAAACGATATGATTTTATACCTATGAATTAACGACATGGTATGCAGTTAATTGCATAAACGATACAAAGATACAAAGATACAAAGTTTAAATCTTATGGTTTGAATTACGATTTTTCCTGGAAATTTTACGAGCCATTTTATGCAAAATAAGTCTTTGTTGTTGTCTGTATGAGTGGGACACCGTTACCGCACGGTTACCGCACACTTACCGAACCTGGCCTGCAGAATTTTGGTGAACCAGTGGGGCACTAGAATTTGGTTACAGTACGATTACGGTCACAGTACAGTACCGTCCGTTTCCCACTCATACGAAATCCGCTCTAAATGAACAACGTTAATGGGATTGATTGTATCACATTGCCGGATTTCAAACCGAGGGGGTACTGGGCAAAATCTCCTTATTGGATAATCACGAGATAAGACTTACATAGAAAGCCCTTGTTTAGAAATGCAAAATTCCAAAATTTGCTGTAAATCAGTTCAATAGTGAACGAGTTACAGTCTTCCAAATATTCTAAAATTTCCAAAGAAATGTATCCCGTATGTGATCCCGCGAATGTGTCCGGAAAATGGTCAAAATTCGGACACATTCGCGGCTTCCCATACATTTCTTTGGACATTTTAGAACATTTGAAAGGCCGTAACTCGTTCACTATTGAGCTGATTGACATCAGATTTTGGAATATTGCATTTATAAACCACGACTGTGCGTGAGCGATTTTTGAAAAAGGCAACAAAATGGTTTTTTGCTCAAAATCTATATAATAAAACAAATACATAAGTCTCCGCCTGTGGTTTATACTCTGATAAACGCACGCTTGGCATTTGAAACACACTCAAAAATGTCGGCTGAGCCTTATTTATTTGTTAAATAATAATACTACAAACTACTACTGCTACAAATAAAGACAAAATCCGCATAATAAATGCAAAAGATGAGAAATATCCTCTAAAAACCAGAGACAATACTCCAGTTTCGAGATCTTATTTGTGCAGCCTTAACCTCGAAAAGGTCCTATAGCAATGCAAAAACTCTGTGTAAACAGAAGACAATAAAAATTTATGCTTGATTGAATTTAAGTTTGCACAAAAAAGAATTCGAAATGACTTCTTCTGAGTAAAGATGCACGGAAAAATGGAACCTGCTTGATTTATAGAATAATTTTTTTTCCCGAGGAGCGTAATTTCATTGAAACGGTTGAAAGTTGCAGGTGCACTGGTTCTGGCCAATCAGAGTGCACGTAAGATTAATGTCSTCATCCATGCGTGTGTACTTTAATAACCCTCCCTTAATCTCGACCAATCCAAGAGCGCGAAATATAGTACCAAATATTATATAAAGTTTTCTATTGTTTCCTTTTACTATTATGCATTCATACTTTGTTCGAGTTGGGARCTACTCTCACTAAAGTGATCTTCTCCTACAAGTCATGAAGAGTTTGCCGCATTTATTATATTTTTTTCTACTTGTTCTCATTCTTTGCCAAACGGTGAAATCCTGGGAAATTGTCAAAAAAGATGAAAAGTACCATTTTGGCATCATTCAGAAAGCCTCARATGAAAAGATATTGCAGAAAAATGAAAGTCTTCTGTCAAACATGACTGTGAAAACTGACAAGGAATGTTGGCTGAAGTGCGTATCGCACGAACGATGTCTATCTCTAAATGTTATAATTGCGAGCAAGACTTTACAATGTGAGCTATTCAACTGGATAGGAGGAAGTCTGAATGCTTTTCTTGTGCCAAAGAAGAGTGGTTACCACGCACAACTACAGGTAAATTCTGCTGTTTTTATTCAATATATTATTCAGTCAAAGATAAACAAAATATTTGGATGCACCGCGATAAAACTATTATAGTTATTATTTTCCTATAATCTTAGACGATTTAACGTTCCGATGAGGTTTAATATAAATATTATTGTTCAGTAAGTAGTGTCATCAAACTTTGTAGACACAAATAACATAAACTGGTTCGAAGAAAATACTACTGAGACCGTTTAATGACGCAAAAAATACCATAATAATACCAATAATAAATAATAATAATAAATAATACCATGTCGAGAACGGTGTCTGAATCTCGTCCAATTAGTACATTCGAATGATAGAGGCGATTCGCGCCAGGCATTTTCAAGTAAATTTAAAAATGTGTTCATATGGTAATCCATCCAGGCATAAAAGATCCACTAAGCAAAAACTTACCTAACAATAAACAATAAATCAGACAGGTTCTTATTTTAAAGTTTAAAAGATTAAAAGATTTCGTCATTTCAAAAATGAATAAAATGCAAGAATCTCAGTAAAAGTTGTCGACGAGAATGTCTTCATCTGTCGGTATCTTCATGAAGAGAGTTCTTTTAATTATGTAACAGCTTCAACAACCTCATGCAAAGGTTACTATAACAATTCACCGGAGTTGTACATACAATTTGCATAGTTAAGAGACTACAAAGAAATGTATGGCGTCACCGTACTCTGAATTCCACCAGAAATGGCGGCTAACTGTTACGAACATAATTTCGGGTACAAAGTAGCAAATATACCTTATTTTCACTATATTTAGCAATTCTGAATCTATATTAAAAGTAAACAAAAAAGAATTTTAGATGATTTCCACCGCTTTTCATGCGCGTGACCTGGCGTTGTGTGACATGACTTTGGCTACCAAATGCATCAAATTATTTGCGTATAAGCTCAAAAATTATCTCGAAACATAGTTTTCTAAACTATAKTTTAGAGTAAAGTCGATTTCATGGGAAATTAAGTTCAAATTATTATATATTTGGATCTATGACGTAACGTGCTCCTCTTGGCTCAATGCACAAAATTGGATGAAAATGTTAAAAAAATCGCATCACAGACTGCAAAAAACAAACAACGTTCGATCGCCGAAGGGGCATTCTTATTAGGCGGAGTGATACGGGTGATTGCTAAGCGGACGTGGTTTGAAGCTGCTGTAAGCCATAGATCTTTTCCATCTTTTGCTATACTTTCYTCTATTTGGTGTTAATCTTTTCCAAATTGTGAAAACAAGGGAGCTAATAAACAGGAATAATTGAAACATTTTGGAATCATGTTGAAATCCTCAGAGGAAAAGATATTGCAGAAAAAAGCAAGCCTTCTGTCTATCACTAAATGTGATACTTATAAGCAAGACTTTACAGCTATTCAACTCAGTGGATAGGGGGAAGTCTGAATGCTTTTCTATGCCAAAGAAAAGCGCTCGATTGATGCGCCAWATATTATTTTGCCAGAATTAATTAGCTCAGATTAGCCCACCCCGACCCATATCTAATGAACAGTCCCTAAGGTCTCACTTGTGATACAAAAGAATAACTCAAATTGCGAAGTAGTCTTCTTGGCTTTAGTTTGTTGAAATTGCAAATCTATTGAAAGGTGAAAAAAATAATGTTTATTTTTATTCGATTTAATTATTTATTCGTTCAACAAACTTATGAAATCGGCTTTTTCCTGCGATTTTCAAAAATATAATATATTTTACCCTATCCTTCTGAGGAGACGTTTAGTGAGCTCATCTCAGTGTACTGAAGATAGTTCTTTAGAATTATCAAGAGAAGGATCAAAATGACCACAGAAATTGCCGCAAAAATCTCAAGTGTATAAACACGGGCCTTAAACATGTACACCTGATTAAAAAAATAAGTTGTCAGATCCAAAAAGCTTACATAATCGACCCAAGGTTACATAATAAGACCCAAAGGCAGCATGGGAAGGCGATTTTTGTATCTACAAAACACTTTATCCAAAACATAGTTATGATAACCTTTAGTTAGTAACGTTTATGTTTAGGCAAATATGATTCAAATTTCAAATACCCTCTTATGAAAATCCCTTTTGACATTTTACACATTACAAGTCAAAGGAAAAAAGGCAAAAAATATTTTATACAGATAAACCCACTGTTCAAATTCAACGAGTTTTTTTTAATTCTTTCTCTTTCTTTAGGTAAAGGATGATTGCCAAGGCTGCTTAAATGGTGGGGCGTGTGTGGCGTCAAAATCAAGATATAAATGCACGTGTCAGTTTGGATATAAAGGCAACCGTTGCGAAACGCAAGGTTTGTAACGAATTACAATTAATACCTCCAACGCTCCAACGACTAATACCATTTGCTTCTAGCAATCAAAACGCAAGTGACAAACGTGCTCTCGAGATTTCAAAGCGAACGAACCTCGAACATTTAAAGAATAGCTGCCTGCTGTTGTTGAATGTTTTTAGGGTTCGTGCAGTATGTTTGCCCTCATCTATTTGTCTCCTCTCATCAATCATATAAATTCCAAACATTTCTTCATTATCGACTTTAAACAACCCATTACACGTTTATCGTTCTGTTAGTCAAATTATTCAAATCTTTATATAAATATGAGGACCGCATGGCACTATGATAGACGCGATATAGAAATGAAAGAAAGTTATAGTGCTTAGAAGGAGGCAATTTCGGGATAATGTCCCTTAGGAATAAATTCGGAAAAAATTAGTTTCCGTCCTCGCTGGGATTCGAACCCACGACGTTAGGATTTGTACTACCGATGCTCTACCAGCTGAGCTACACGGCCAGACTGGGGAGCAGGTCGGGGTGAGATAGATGTTAGGTTGTGGTAATAGAATAATGTAAAGATATGAATATGAGGACCGCATGACACTATGATAGAACAGATATAGAAATGAATCAAGTGTTTGTTGTTGTTTTTCCCTAGTGAATCAAGACTGTTCAACCCTATTAGCAGCAGGATACCACGAGAACGGAGTTTATACAATACATCCGGACGGTAAAGGCGAGTTTCCCGTTCTTTGTGATATGAAAACTAATGGAGGTGGATGGGTTGTCATCCAAAAACGCTTTGATGCATCCGTCAGTTTCAACCGCCTCTGGAATGAGTACAAGAAAGGTTTTGGAGAAATGAAAACTGGTGAATTCTGGCTCGGGAATGACTACATTCATCGCTTAACAGAAGCCAGACCGATGAAGATACTTATCGAGCTGGAAGACACTAAT